TGCTGCTGCTGCTGCTAGGTAGGGAACTGCATTTGGAGAACTACTACTCTACAGCAGTATTTTCTCAACCCTTGGGGTATACTAAAGTTACCTGGGGAGTTTGTAAACATTTCCAAAGCTTGGGTTGGGTCCCACCCGGGTTGGGTCACACCCCAGACAAACTAAATCAGGATCTTTGAGGATGGGACCCAGGAATCTGTTTTTTAAAAGCTAAAGGCAAGAATCAGTGCTTGTCTCAGTGTTTCTGACTATTACACATATACAGGTTACCTGAGAATCTTGTTAAATGTCCGTTCTGATTTAGTAGCTATGGAGTATGGTCTAAGACTTTGCATTTTGAACAAGCTCCCAGATGGAGCTCCTACAGCTGCATCACAGAATATACTCAGGAAATGAAGAATCAGAATTGCTGCCTTCTTTATCCCTTTTAGGTAGATATGTTTTTTGCATAAGTTAGGTGTATGTGGCTGCTGTGAGCGTGATGCCATGGCACTCTACCCAGGGGGATAGCTTGAAGCTCTGTCTCAAAAAAAAAAAAAAAAAAGTTAGCTAGAGATACACTAGGTGAGTCTGGTCTGGGGCTCAAATACCTTTTGGGTACTCGAACCTGGAGTTGCCGGTTTGATCTCGTTCTGCAGGTTTTCTGATTAGAGCAGGAGGAACTCTCATGACTCATTGTAGGTAACAGGTTACCATGGCAACTTCCAGACATCTGTGTGTCAATCTGGGGGCTCCTGGACATCCCTGCCAATTATAGCAAGGGGTCCCAAAGATGATCAGAGCACTGACCATGCGGCTGCCGCACCTGCTCTGTGTTTCCCGGGAGGTGTGGCTGGGTCTTAGTCCTTAGCAGCATTTAACACTGACCCCCACACTGAATCAGACATAATTCTCTCTTCAGACAGATAAATCATAGTGAAGAATAAAGCTACTAGCTGGAGTTCCGGGGTCAGCGCTGGTCTAAAAAAAATTACCACCGAAAGCAAGAGCGCCAAAGGTTTAGGGTACTTTTTACCCTAAAGGGAATTCTTAAATGGAAATAGTTCCTTCAAGTTAGTATATTGGTTCTTTACAAAAATAAAAAGCACAGACACACTTTGAAGTCTCACTTCCTCACATTTTAATCTTTATTGTACTCAAATATATCACATATGTATGTTCTATTTTTATCAGGCCAACTGTGAAAAAACCCAGAGACTTAGCGTCAGTATCAAATTCCATCCCATTCTAGCTTCTCCACAGGGGAAAAACCCAGGCTGGAAGAAAATAGTCTGAAAAGACATAGTTTTGACCTTAGGACATGTTTTTCCCACCCAATTTTTTTTTTCCTAAAATGTACAGCTTATTGAATTCCCTAGAATAACAGGCATGGAGGTGTGGGTGTGTCTCTGCCTCGCTGGCCATCCTCGCCTCTTTTATAAGCTCTTTATTCAGGGCTCTGTTGAATGACACAACCAAAGAAATAGGTTCTTTCAGGACACAAGCTGCAGGGAGTGACATTTAGCTGCTTCCCTCTGGTGGGACCTACTCACTCGATGGGATACCAGAGGACGCTTTGAAGGCTTCCGTGTGAAGTGTGGACATTTCATCAGCTTTGCTTCTAGCCAGAGGCACTACGGGCAGGAGGGCAAGACCGTTTGCCACCGAGGAAGTTCTGAGGGTATTGCTGATAGTCCTCAGGTGTTCTGTGGCCTGGGGTGCTGAGTGTGACAGATACATAGATATATGTGTGTGTGTGTGATTTCTGAAGCTGCAGCAAATCTCCATAGAGAAACTATATGGGAGAAAATTGGTGAGTTGTGGGATATATTCAGGAGAGTGAATAAATTCCCTGTATCTTTCTGGAATTATAAAGAGTTTAAAATGAGACTTTACTAAAATTCAGATCAACGTTGCAGAAGCTGCAGTACAGGCTGGAGATAGGTGGCTGGGAGCAGGGCCGGCCCAGTTTTCCACTCTGGTGCCTCCTCAACAACTTTGTTAAAATAGGTAACTGTTGATTGCACTGTTAACACTGTGATGAATAGACCCTAGTGGGCCCAGTATGAACCCCAGATTGTGACCTAAACAGAGAAGATGTCAAATGCAGCCTGGGACACTGAGGGGAAGGCGTAGGAGGAAACAGGAGGTCGGATGAAGAAAAAGGAGAGAGCAGAGAAGACCATAGGGGAGAGGAGGGGATGAGGGAGAATGTGGGGAAGAGGAGTGCTGGGGCAAGGGGAGGTGGGGGGATTGGGAAGGGAAGGGGAGCGGGAGATGTGGGTGGAAGGCCGAGGGAACCGCACTGACATTTGCTTAGCACTCATTATATGCCAGACAGTGTGGCCTTCGCATACATTACTTCATTAAATCTCACAGAGACTCTGAAAATTAGACATACTTTAGTCCTGAATGTCCGATGAAGAAATCACGGCTCAGAAGCATTAAATAACAAAGCAAGGTCACAGAGCAAGAAAAAAAGGATTGGAAGCCAACATTCCTTTGTGTCCCTCCAAAACACACTCCTCCTATTCCTTTCTCAACATCATATTTTTAGGGGCTATTTGCCTTTTTTTTTTAAAGAAGTCAGCAATGAAAGCCTTTTGGAAGGGACTGTAGTAGTGCCTGAATATGTGCTGAGGCTCTGTTTTCGAAGATGGTGGTGATCTCAGAGCAGACTATGTTTGGAGCATCACAACCTTAAAAAAAACAAGACATAAAAGCAACGTCTTAAAAAGAGGAACTTAGAAAATAAGCTATGTACTCCACGAGAAAAAGTACCTTTAGCAAGAACTACTTGCAGCAGCTTGCTTCATTGTTGTGGATAAAATTATAATCTTGACGTTAGCATTTCCGTTTCCCACAGGGGCTACCCATAGCCATTGTCATCCTCCAGTCTAATCAAACAGTTATCTGGCTTCACATTCAAATATGATTTCTCTGCTTGGAAGGAACTAATTTATGAGTCTTCAGAAAGGCATTTTCTTTTTCTTTTTCCTTCTAGAAAATCCTAATGAAATGAGAAAACAAGGCTCCACAACAAATCAAGAGGGGCTGGTGGTGCGTGGCCCATAGCAGACAGCAGCCATTTTTACTTGAAGTAATGAACGCATGTTCAAAGCTCTCTCGGAGAGAAGTGATCAATCACTTGGACAAAAAAAAATTGTTGATGCATTAGGAACTGTACAGAAACAGTATCGCACAAACTTGGTTTTAATTGGTTTGGTTCTACTTGGTCCATCTAGAGAAATAAATTATTATCTAAGGGATGGCCATACTGCTTAGGACAATGTTTCTAGAGTTTGTTTCCTGGAACATCCTTACTAGGATCATTTGAGGACCCAGCTCATGTCAAAGGGGTTATAGCCTTAAAAATCTCTATTTTAATAAGTTTCCCCAGAAATGCATTATTTCAACTAACCTTTGAGGACTACTGATTTAGAGGTTAACCAGACTTCTGTATTTTATAGACACAGAGTCAGGGCTGTCGCTGATAGAATTTAGATGATGGTCCACTTATGTATAAAATTAGCTCTGATTCACATTTGTGTTTATGTAGATTTCAGTCAATGTTTCTCAATCCTTTATGTAAGTTACCCAGGGAGTTGACTCAGTGGTAGATTTTCAGGCCCCGTCCAAAGGGATAGTCTGGAAGTCAGATTGTCTGCACTTTAAACATGTACCTCCTGTGGTTGTGATGTAAGCATTCTGCTGACCTCACACCCCATGCAGAACCCTTCTGGAAAACACTATTCTTGTCAAATAGTCATGCATCCTCTAAAAGGATACCTTCTTTACTGGGAATAAGTAATAAATTCCATTCGTCAGTAGCTTTAATTGTCAGAAATTTCTTCTTACTGAACTAATATAAAGTTTCATGTAATCTACTGTGGTTCTCTCAATTACGATGGCATAGAAGATTTCACTTGTCAACGTAAGTTTTAAGAAAATAATCCCTACCAAAAATATAACTGCTTCTGTTCCCTTTGGATCCCTGGTTTGCTCTCTAGCAGAGGGTGAGTAGGAGAAGAGAACAGAGGGATCCAAATATACATCCTGCTGGGAAGGCAAGGGCCTCCACTATTTGCATAGCAACAACGCTCCCCCAATCCAACATCCAGGAAAATGTGGCTTTCTCACTTCCTGGAATAATATCATAACATGCATAAACAAAGCAAAACAAAACTATATCCTTCTGCATCACTCAGAGTGTGGGAAATCCTGTTTATCAGAGGGACGATGAGAAAATCAGCCAATAAAGAATGAAGTGGGGTGGCTCAGCCTAGGCAGGGGCCCTCGCTGGGGACATCGGTAGGAGCCTTCTCTTCTGCCAGGTGCCTGCTCACTCTGGTCCAGCTGCCACTGAAGGCAGGTCAGAGAGCTGGATCTCATTCCAGTAGATACAGAGCAAGCGATAGATGAGAATTTATGGGCATGTTTCCAGCCATGTCACGAGGACCTCCCCAGATCCTCGGAGCTTAGTTAATTCACTTCATTCGTTCTGTTAATTTGAAAAAACTCAAATATCTTGTTTACTAATTTTGAAATAAATTAAAGTGGACCCTTGAAAAATCTGAGTTGAACCATGCGAGTCCACCTATTCTTGAGTTTTCTCCGGCCTCTGCCACCCCGAGGACAGTAAGACCAGTGCTTCCTCTTCTTCCTCCTCCTCCTCAGCCTACTCAACGTGACAATGACACAAAGGAAGACTTTTATGATAATCCATTTCATAAAATATATTTCTCTTCCTTGCGATTTTCTTAGAATGATGACAAAGGCTGGGAGGAGCAAAAGGGGAATGGGGATGAATACACGGAATCTGGAATGTTGCCTTTGTTTCAATTTTCTTTTAACTTAGGGACAGACTGAATTTTCGAGACGAGTGAATCAAAGGCACTGAGTCCTCAGTGACCTGTCTTGTAAACATGTACTGTGCTCATTTTTTAAAGAGAAAAAAAGCCCTTTCCTCTCTGCTGCTCTAGCCAGTTTCAGGATGCAAGAATCACATATCAGAAGCCTTGGTTTGTTTAGATGCTTTTAATGGTGTCAAATTTGTGTATTCTTTGTGCTGGGAAATAAAAACAGGAGGACTCCAGAATGTGAGCTCAATATGTCTTCAAGGGATATCTGGAGGGATTAGGCCCTACTTGTTCTTTAACATAAAATAAAATTTAAGGGAAGGTGTTTCAATTCTTGCCAAACCCTGCACCTGAATTTGCATGTTGATGTGAGACGCAGAAAGCATTTTGGGTTCTAGATGGTGACAGAATTCTAAGGGTGTGGTCTCTCAGTTTTCTCCCTTACCAAATAGAACAAAACAAGTGCTCTGCATACCCTACAGCATCGTCGGGAGGTTTAAAGAAAACAAGGTAAAGTGCTGCCCCACTGCAAGCTGTTGTCCTTCCTACACATCATTAGTAGGAAATGTTGGCTCCATTTAAGGATTTCCCCTGATCTATCAGTACTCCTAAAAGGAAACACTGGGGAAGGATCCACCCATGTGTTTCTCCCTCACTTTGAGGCCCAAATGGCTCCATGTAGAAGTGAGCTCATATTCCACAGATGGGCATTGGGTTCCTGAGCAACAGGGTATGGTGCCAGGAGGAAAGACATGTCTTCTGGCAGTGCGGGCGGCCTTACATCAGGGCACTGACACCAATCGCTAGAGAGTACCTGGAGCCTGCTCTCCCACCACCCCAAATCTCATGTGCTTGGGGCTCGGTCCATGTTTTTATTTCATTAGTAAAATATGACCTCACCTTTCTTTAGTCGTCCAGAAGCATGAGGATACATTTGTTGCAAACTACATGCAGATGAAAGCGGGATTCCTTTTGAAACTACATCCTCTTAATAATAAATAATTATTATCTACTATACATAACAGTAGTGCATTTCTTGTTAAAACAGCAAGCTTTTTCTTTCTTTTTTTTTTTTTTACCAAAATGAAAACATTCATTTCATTATAAATATTTTAAATAGTTTAAATACATATTTCATACCAAGGATATAAAAATAGCCTCTGTGTTTTGTTTTGTTTTGATAAATAAAGACATTTTCATTTACATGGCAAATAACGTGCGAATAGCTAGCCATTGGCCACCAGCTCTATTTGATTGATTGTCTAGGAGATGACATGCAGTGATAATTGTCCTTTTGCCTTCACAAAAAGAAAATAGATCAGCAGGATCTGTGCGCTCCGGAGGCCAACAGTGCTATGGATATTGTTCAGGAACGACAAACAGGCACTCGGGAAAAACCTTTCCTGCACTTCACAAAAGCCACCTAGGACAAGACTAATCCACCAATTCTTTGTCTGGGACTTCTAGCTGCTCAGACCCTCAGGGGCTTTGGACTTCTACCAGAGTCTGTCAAACAGACCAGTAAGTTAATACCTGTACAAGAAAATGTTTTTATTATGCTTCTAGGGTCTGGAGATAGTTTGCTACAGTATGGAGGTGCTTCTGCGTTTCTTGGACTCCTCACACTCTCTTCTGTGGGATTCCCCACTGGGCCCAGTCCTCCTGCTCGCCAGAGGCAAAAAAGGCAAACTAAAGCTGTCATGCAGTAGTAGGAGTGGAGTGGGCAGCTGCGTCCCGTGAGCCCATATCATACGTTTATGGCTTTGTTGTCTTGCACTTCTGCTGTGCTTGTGACAACCTCCAGTGGAAAGTTCTCCAAGGGTTTCGTAGACACTGATGCCATCCCTTCTTGCTTCCAAGATACTGGCAAGTTTTCCAGACTGAAGGAACTAACGGCTCCCTGACCGAAGCTGCCCTCTTCCGATCTGCTTGGGAGAATGAGGTGCAAAGACGTTTCCGAGGAGGAGCAGACTGAAGATGAAAGAGTTGCTGAAATGGATTGCAGAGGTGTCAGTGTAGTATCTGAATGTGGAGAGATGCACCTTAAAAATTGCAAATGACCTTCTTGGACAACCTGGTAGTGGGACGGTGAATAATCAAGGTTTGGAGAATGATAAAGTTCACTGTCGGCAGGGTTTTGCTCATGAGCTCCAGTTCGTTGCGGGCTGCTCCTCACAGAAGAGGGATCCATGCTCCAAATATCTGAGGTGATATTACTGTGACAGAGTTGTGCTTGGGTATAAGCAGCCCCACCTGTCTGCAAGTGTAAGCAAGGTTGGTGTGTACTCCAGCTCATTCTGGTCTGTAAGCTCTCCCTGGAGGGACACACAGAGGTGGTGTGCAGAGAGCAACGCCGTGAGGGCTGCTGAGGTGACAGAATGTTTTCCAGAAGTTGCATCACATTCTTCATGTCTTTACCTAACTGGGAGACTTCCTGAGTCAAGCTTGTTACCTGTGTGGGTAGAGCAAAGCAAAAGGCCATAGTTAGAGGTACATGGTAGCGCCTAGACTTCAGAGAAGGGGAGCAGGGAAGTGGGCTTTCCAAATAAGAAAAGCCAAGCCCAAGGGATAAATGGATTGGTTGGTCACCTCGATGGACCTTTAGATCCTGATCTAAAGCCATCCTCATTCTGAAGCAACTCAGTAAAACATAAGTAGTCTCAGGTTCTCAATCAATGATTCTGGGATTCTGAAACAAGTAGAGATGTGCATTCATCATCTCTCTCCTTTTTTCTTTTTTTTGAGACAGAGCCTCAAGCTGTCCCCCTGGGTAGAGTGCTGTGGCATCACAGCTCACAGCAACCTCCAACTCCT